AAAGCAAGAAAGGAACTCACATCTCTTGCTCCCTGATGCGTCAGCACCTCCTGGATATATGACTTATCCACTCTCTCAATGCATTAGGAGGTAGAAAATAGCAAGGGCTGGACCTTTAGGGCCCATCACAGTCTCACCCCTAAGCATCATCTACAACCACCTTGTACACACACACCTACACAAAGAAGGAAATCCTTTAGAGTTGGTGGGATTGGGGGACAGATGAGCCAGTGATACAGCCCCTCAGAAACTATCCCAGGGCCCACAGTGTGCATGCACAAGTTATGAGGCTAGCTTTGCTGCTGCAGAGCCAGGACCCGCACTCTCTGTCCTGGACATCCTCTACCATCAGTCCCTACAGGTGTGACCTCCTCATACAGTAGCCTAAGCAGCAGGTGGCTAGGTGAAGGAGTGTGAGAAGCTGACAAGTGGCTGGTCCCACCACAGAATCTGCACGATATGACACTCTTACCCAAAGACAATGAGAGAAGCCCCCACGTGGCTAGTGAGTTATCATTACAATTGCTCTTAAGATACATTTTTTCAAGACCACAAAAGTCTTGCCAATTGTGAGCAGTCACTTTGGACCAGACCCAGCAGGTGAAGTTGACAGAGCAACAGCACAGAAGGAGCCAGGTCTTTGGTGACCTTGGAGCCACCACACCGGCCCTGGATTACCTGCCTCCAAAAGAGGAATCCACTTCCCTCCTCTTGAAGCTACTGGTGTTTGTGGTGGGGTTGGTGTGTGCAACCAAATCAAATCCTGAGCAATCCATCAGACTTCTGTGTTGGCCAATGTGAGTGTCAGCAAACAGGAGACACATGGGACTGGTGGGCGAGGGGCATGAATAATGGTGACTGACGGGCACATTGGGAGCAAGTGAGGGCAAAGAGAGGCAAAGGGCAATGGAATGGAGGTGAATGAGCACCATTGTGGAGTGAATGTGGGTCAAAGTGAGGGAATGACTATGCATTCAATTATGAATGAATTTGAGATTATGATGAGATTAAGTAAATGATTGGAAGTGAGCCACAATCTAAGCAGAAAAAAGGTGAAAGTGGGAGCAGACTCTTCATGAATAGGACAACTAAAGAGGGTGAATGTGAGTGGAGGTGATAAGAATACTAAGGATTAGAGTGTGAAGGAATGGTGGTTTTATGAGGCACAAGATGAATGAAGAGGGGAATTTAGGGATACAGTCAGAGCGAATGGGGGTAATGTGGGATAGAAAGAGAAGAATAGGGTGCAGGAGGGACAGAATAAAAGAGTGGAGTTGGATATGTGGTAGAATGTGAAGCAGGCCGAGTTTGAGTGCGAATGCTATGAGGGAGGGTGACTAGAGATGACTGGGATTAGACGGGGATAATACAGGGTAGTCTAGCCCAGGAACGTGGGGGTACAGGGATCCCAGTGGGAATCAGCAAATGTGAATGAGCTGAAGAGTGCGCATTCAATGGAGGTGATGTTGGGCAGAGTGAGAGGGAATGAAAGTGAAGAGCAGAGGATGGCTGAAGGTGGGTATTGCAAGGCAGAGAGTGGATGAAGGCAACATGGCCTAGGGTGAGTAAAGCGAGGAAACACGGGGAGCCCGATGTGAGCAAAAGTAACGAATTTGAGGCGTAGTGTGACAGAATGCGAGTACTGGGAGGCAGAATGGCAGGCATGAATCAGGAGCAGAGGATGAGCAAGAACAGGGTGATAGGGGTTACAATGGGAAAGGATTTAAACGAATGAGGCAGTGAGAGGCAAAGTGAGAGTAAATGGAGACAATGAAGAGAAAACTCAGAAAGAACAGCGACCAAACATAGACTAAGTATATGTGGGTAACTTGAGCTAGTGTTTGGGAGTAATAGGGGCAGAGCTCCAGGAAATGGGGGTGTTCCGGGGACAGCATCTGAGAGAATAGAGGTGAAGGAGGGGCAGAAAGGGAGTGAATGGGGGAGTTAACGAGGCCCCAAGTCAATGAACGAAGCTGAAGGCTGGGCCAGATGTGAGTAAGTGGGAGTCATTTGATGCAGAGCCAGGAAATAGAGGTGAAGACAGGAAATGGTCTGAGCGAGAGTGAGTGGGATGAAGAAGGAATATGACATGAGAGAATTTGGGTAATGCTAAGTAGATGGGGAATTGTGATAATATGAGGCCCGGTGTGGGTGAATATAAGTGGTTGAGAGGCAGTGTAAGTGAATGTGGGAAAAAAAGACAGAATGAGAATGAAGATGAAAAAGCAGTCAAGCCTAAGAATCTGCATGTAATATGCCATTTGTAATATGAAATGTGGGGCACAGTCCAGTAAATTAGGATGGAAAAGCACTTTAAGTTCAGAGAGGTGAACAAGCTACCAAGGATGAGTGCTATGGTTTGAATGTGTCCCTTCCAAAATTCAGATGTCAGACACTTCATCCCCAATGCAACAGGGTTGGGAGGTGGGGCCTTTAATTTCCAGTGCAACAGTGTTGGGAGGCATTTAGGTTTCTGTGTTCCATGTTCCAGAATCTATGACTTAGACATTTGCTCATAGAGCCCAGAGTTCCAGATCACCCCTAATTCCGAACACCACAGGGTAAGTCTGGAGCGAGTCACCTGGGAGGTCTTACAGGTGCCATAATGCAGGCCTGGGGCACTGTGATAGTGACCTTGGCCATACTGATGGTTGTCACTGTGGATGCCAAGATTTATGAACGCTGCGAGCTGGCTGCAAGACTGGAGAGGGCAGGGCTGAACGGCTACAAAGGCTACAGTGTTGGAGACTGTGAGAATCCAGTTGCCCCAAATCCTGCCCATACCCTAAGCCACTCACCACATTCAGACCCAGGCCCCCCCTTGTCCTTTATCACCTCTCCAGGTCAGGGCATGATCCCTTCAGTCACTCACTCACTGACTGTGCTGAGTAGTTTAACTAACTCTAATGTCACCACCATTATTGCCTTCACAACCATCACCTCCATCCCTGCCGTCAACATGATCACTACAATCAATATCATCACTGCTGTTACCACCATGAATACCATCACTACCGCCATCACTGATCCCTCACCAGAATCACCAATATCACCACACCAAACCAAGATCACCACCCTCACAACTGAGATGACAACCATCCCTGTCCTCCCCCGATCCTATCCTTCCCTATTCCCAGGCTCTATACCTATTTCTTGCCTCTCTTCTCCCTGCACCAGGGCTGTGCATGGCTCACTATGAGAGTGGCTTTGACACCGCCTTCGTGGACCACAATCCTGATGGCAGCAGTGAATATGGCATTTTCCAACTGAATTCTGCCTGGTGGTGTGACAATGGCATTACACCCACCAAGAACCTCTGCCACATGGATTGTCATGGTAAGTCAGCACTGGGGACACACTGAAGCCCTGCCAGGCCCTACTCTCCCACACATGGAGGACAAGGTTGTTTAAGCCATAATCTCCTGCAACAAGAGAAAAATGATGAGAAAAGGAGAAAAGTTGCCTAAGCTGTTAGAGACACCATCCTGTATCCCTACCCAGACTATACTGAGGGGTTGTTTAGGACAGAAGAGCTCAGAGCTCCCAATTCTCACAGAGTGGACCCTGCAATTTTCTTAGACTCAGGAAAGAGGAAACTTACCTCCGTGTGGAATAGTGACAGAGACTGTCCTAATTTGGGGTTGAGGTTACCCAGGCCCTGAGGAAAGAAGCAGATGTGTGGTTCTAGAGACAGAAACAGATCACCTTCATGCAGAAATGACAGAATGTTCCAGATAAGACTGGTGTTGCTGAGGACAAAATAGAATAGCAATTAACGTTGTTCAGTGTTGGTCGAAATGGTGGCTGAGGTTGTCCAAGACAGGAAAAAATGGAGATTGAGGTTATTTAGGGCCAGCTCAAATAGAGGTTGGGGTTGTCCAGGACCAGATAGCATGGAGGTTGGAGTTATTCATGACTAGACAACATGACAAGATCATCCAGGATCAATCAACATGAGTTAAGGTTGTATAGAACAAGCTAACATGGTGATTGAGATCATGCATAACCAGCTGACAAGAGAATCTATGTCATCTGGAATTGGCCAACATTGTGGTTGAGGTTCTTCAGGCCCCAAAGAACCCAAAACCCCTGGGCCCTCCATTCACTGTTACCCTATCCTCAATGCACCAGATCATCATGTCCCTCTCTTCCCCTTCAGACCTGCTCAATCGCCATATCCTGGATGACATCATGTGTGCCAAGCAGATCGTGTCCTCACAGAACGGGCTGTCTGCCTGGTAAGATCATGGGCATGGCCTGGACCATGGGCAGCCAGGGATGGTGTCACTGCCACCCCATCAACCTGTCCACTTCATCCTCTCTCTTTTCTTTCATTTCCCAGGACTTCATGGAGGCGGCACTGTTCTGGCCATGATTTATCTGAATGGCTCAAGGGGTGTGCTATGCAAGTGAAAATTGACCCAAAAAATTATCCATGACTCAGATTCGAAGAGACAGGTTTTATTTCCCTTTCATTCCTTTCTCTTGTGCATTTAATAAAGGATAGTATCTATAAACAATGCAAAAGATTCTCTGATGCCTGACTCTCTTCATTTATTCAATGCCTGGAGGTACCCTCATTCCATCACTTTCTCCATACATTCAAAGGTCTAATTAAGAAATACCAGATCACTCAGGGTGGGGCAGGAAGGAATGACAGGGTGGTGAATCAAGAGCATATGTTCTCCCGGGTTCAAAAACCATCTCTACCATCTACTAGCTGTGTTGCCTTGGAAGAGATACTGAATTTCTCTGTGCCTCAGTTTCCTCATGTGTTAAGGATGATAATGATAGTAACTCCTTGATGGGGTTATTCGAAGGATTAAATGAATTAATATTTGCAAAATGTATAAAGTGCTTGGTACATAAGACAGTTATAGGTTTGGAGATAGAAGAGTGGGAAGGGACAGATGAAAATTGGCTTCCCTTAAAAAGAATCACTCTCAGTTCAGGTCACTACAGGGTCTTTATTTAAGGCAGATGTGGTCTCTTCAGGGACAATGAATCCAGTAGGATTGTGCTTACACAGGAAGCTTAGTGGGAATTAGGAGTTAAAGGTACATTTTTCCCACATCCTCCGACATAACACCATTCTCCCAGTCCCCACACCCTCTTTCATGATCAAAGTCTGAAGTTTCAAATGACAGAGTAGGAATGTAGGCAAAACATTCAATGGACACACACGGTAATAATTTCTTCTTACAGAATGCCTGAGTTTCAGTTTGTGTCTTGAGCAGAGAATTTAGGAATTTGAACTTGCCATTCTTTGCAATGGCCAACACCTTTGGAAGCAGCCACTCCCATTAGGAAGCAGTCCCTCATGTTCTTTGTACTCTTTGGTTGGGGTAGTTACCCAAGTACCTGAGGCCTTGAAGTGTTCATTTCAAACAAGATAATCATAGATGATCATGAAAACAGCTAGCTGCCACCGCATGCCAAGGAATGCTGGAGCCCCCTTCCTTACTGCCAGCTGGATTTCACCTACCTTCAGCTCCATCCAGCCTAGGTAATCAAATCTCACATCTCCCTGTGGGTCCATAAAGGGTGCCAGCATTTTGTGTACTGATTTCTTATTGTTTTTTTTTCTTTCGTTTTGTTTTGTTTTGTTTTTGAGACAGAGTGTCGCTCTTTCACCCAGGCTGGAGTGCAATGGCTCACTGCAACCTCCACCTCCCGGGTTCAACCAATTCTCCTGCCTCAGCCTCCCGAGTAGCTGGGATTACAGGCGCCCACTTCCATGCCCAGCTAATTTTTGTATATTTAGTAGAGACGGGGTTTTATCATGCTGGGCAGGCTAGTTTTGAACTCCTGGCCTCAGGCAATCCATCCACCTCAGCCTCCCAAAGTGCTGTGATTACAGGCGTGAGCCACCACACTCAGCCTAAAATATATTTTTAATTATTATTCCTTTAGTGGCTATCTTTAAATCTGTAACTTCCTATCATTTGATAAACCCTTTTGTTCTTGTATGGAACTTAGTCTCCATTATGACAAAATAGAGATTCTTAATAATAGTAGATTTTGTTAATTTTTCTACGAGAGTTTGGTATTAAATCTGGAGACATATTTTCCATGTATCATTTCCAAGGACTATGCTTATTTAATTAATTTAATTGGGTTTCCCTTAATACCTGTGCCTAGATGTATGGTGAGGTTTGCCTTCCAACTTACAGCCCTTATGTCTTCAAGGCCTCAAAAGGCGCCTCTCTAGCTGGTTATCAGCTTGCCAGACTTCTAGAAGAATAATAAACCACACTCTACCCTGTGAATATAGCTTTGTCAGAAGCAGGCTTCTGGTGTGACTGATGTTTCTTTCAAGTTTACATACCAATCAGAAAGAAATTCCATGTACATTTCTTTCCTAAACTCTGAGCTTCAGAAAAAAAAAAAAAAAAGTTGCTCTAATAGAAATTGGAATGGGAAAGTAAAATAAATATAAGTGACTTTGATTGTTTAAGAAAAATTCTTTAGGCCGGGCTCAGTGTCTCATGCCTGTAATCCCAGCATTTTGGGAAGCCAAGTCAGGCAGATCACCTGAGGTCAGGAGTTCAAGACCAGCCTGACAAACATGGAGAAAGCCCGTCTCTGCTAAAAATACAAAATTAGCTGGGTGTTGTGGCGCATGCCTGTAATCCCAGCCTCTCGGGAGGAACCCGGGAGGCAGAGGTTGCAGTGAGCTGAAATCATGCACGCCAGCCTGGGCAACAAGAGCAAAACTCTATTTCAAAAAAAAAAAAAAAGAAAGAAAAATACTTTAAAATTGGAGAGAGGCTGGGCACAGTGGCTCATGCCTCTAATCCAAGCACTCTGGGAGGCCAAGGTGGGTGGATCATTTGAAGTCAGGAGTTCAAGACCAGCCTGGCCAATGTGACAAAACCCTGTCTCTACTAATAATACAAAAAAAAAAAAATTAGCCAGGCGTGGTGGCATGTACCTGTAATCCCAGCTACTCGGGAGGCTGAGGCATGAGAATCACTTTAACCCAGGAGGCAGAGGTTGCAGTCATCTGAGATTATGCCACTGTATTCCAGCCTGGGTGACAGAGTGAAACTGTGTCTCAAAAGTACATACATAAATAAAAATAAAATTGGGGCGAGAAGGTAAAAATAGTTTTAGGGAGCCATGAACAGGGGAAAGGGAGATTAGAAGGCTAGCAGATCCAGGATTTGGGGGGAAAAGGACTCAACTAGAATGCAAAGAGCCTTTTAGGAAATCTGGAAACAATTGAGGTGACCAAGAGAATAAGCAGAAGGATGAGGCCAGATTGTGGTGAGGCTAGCTCTTCACCATCTCACTTCAACATCACCGTGAGACAATAGTTCACAAAACTAACAATTTACAGTTAGCAACAAAAGTTCATGTCCTTTAAGAAGATATTTCTGAGCTTTCAAATATGTCCAGCCCTCACTGACCCACTGCAGTTTCCTTCTCATCACATCCCATCTGCTCATTTCTTTCTTTCTCTTTTTTTTTTTTTAATTTTTTTTTTTAGACAGGGTCTCTGTCACCCAGGGTGGAGTGCAGAGGTATGATCTAGGTTCACTGCAACCTCCACCCCCCAGTTTCAAGCAATTCTCGTGCCTCTCCCTCCCAAGAAACTGGGACTACAGGTGTGGCCACCACACCTGGCTAATTTTTGCAATTTTAGTAGAGACAGGGTTTCACCATGTCGGCCAGGCTGGTCTCAAACTCCTGACCTCAAGTGATCCACCCACCTCAGCTTTCCGAAGTGCTGGGATTACAAACATGAGCCACCGTGCCTGGCCTGCTCATTTCCTTCTTATCTGTACAACTCAAACTTAGGACTTCTCTCTCTGTGATCCAACGTCCTCCCTCCTCCAAAGAGGCAATCACATCTGGTTTGGTCACAGGATACCCTGTAATGGAAAATGATACAAGGCTTGAGCATGTCTGTGTGGGCTTTGGGACCTTAAAAAGTTAGGAAGGTACATATTCATGAGGGTAAATTTCACATGGGAGATGAAAATACAAACACCTAGATCAGTCTGGAAGGAATTAAGAATCTTTAATCCCTAGAACCTGAGGTCAAAATACTGAAGCACATCAGAGATGGAAATTTATTCTACTGGATGTACCATGCATTACTCAGGGAAGCCATCCTAACCCACAGAGACCAGATGGCTATAGTTCTGTAGCATCACATCTTTATATCTCTCTATAGTTCTCTAGCATCACAGGGTTCTCTGAGGAGAATCCAGTCAGTTTCACTGCTCCTGGGTGAAATGCACAGCCACATCCTCAAATGACACGATCCTTGTAATTGCATGCTTCTATTCAATTGGTTGGATAAAAATTAAAGTGATAATACTTTTTAAAATAAAGGGAATATTATTCAGAGGAAAGCTACTCTTTAATCATTTCAAAAGGCCTTTTCTGAGATATTTGCAATACCTATATATAGCAAAGGACTTTTATACTAAGGAAACTATAAAGAACTCCTACAAATAATAAGATAAAAATAGATGGATAGTCCAATAGAAAAACCAGAAAAAAAGATTTGAACAGGTAATTCACCAAAGAAGATATCTAAATGGCCGAAAAACACATGAAAAGGTGCTCACCATCATTAGTCATCAGAGAAAGGCAAACTTAAACCTCAATTAGATATCACTGCATGCCAACAGAAAACCAAAAATATGACCAACAACCTTCAGCTTTCCTTTGAGACGAAGTCTTGCTCTGTCGCCCAGGCTGGAATGCAGTGGCATGATCTCGGCTCACTGCAACCTCCGCCTCCCACGTTCAAGTGATTCTCCTGCCTCAGCCTCCTGCATAGCTGAGACTACAAGCACATGCCACCACAACCAACTAATTTTTATATTTTTAGTTGAGACAGGGTTTCACCACGTTAGTCAGGCTGGTTTCGAACTCCTGATCTCGTTATCCACCTGCCTCAGCTTCTCAAAGTGCTGGGATTACAGTCATGAGCCACAGCACCGAGCCTAATTTTTGTATTTTTAGTAGAGACGGGGTTTCACCATGTTGGCCAGGCTGGTCTCGAACTCCTGACCGCAGATGATCCGCCCACCTTGGCCTCCCAAAGTGCTAGGATTACAGGCACGAGCTACCACGCCTGGCCTGGCTTTTTGCTATTTGAGTCCTTCTTCCCTCTTCCCCTAAATCCTGGATCTGCTACCCTTCCAATCTCCTTCCAAATGTTGGCAGGATGTAGAGCAACTGAAGCTCTCATACATTGTTGGTGGAAGTAAAATAGTGTAGGCACTTAACAGATTGGTAGAGTCTACTAAAGCTGAACATCTAACGTAACATCTAAGTTAGTTTATCTAATTTATCACATCTGCAAGAGGTAAATGATACACCTAACCTAGGATCCAGCAATTCCACTGTTAGGTATATAACCAATGGAAATGCACACATATGTTCACCAAGACATGCACAAGAATATTCATAGACACATTATTTCTAATAGCTAAAATGGAATATCCACCAGCAGGGGAATGGATTAACCATTGTGATATATATTCGCTATTCACAATGGAATAGTGAATAGTGTGAAAAAAGAACAAACTACTGACACATGAAATAACGAGGATGGATCTCAAAAACATTATGGTAAGTAAAAGAAGCCAGACCCAAAAGAATAATAATGTATGATTCCATTTATATGACATTTAAGAGCTGAAAAAAAATATATGGTGACAGAAATCAGAAAGTCATTAGCCATAAATCAAGAGATAGTGATTGGAAGTGGCATGATGAAGGCTTCTGGGTGGCTTGTCATTTCCTGCTTTTTGATCCAGGTACGGGTTACAAAGGTGTTTTCACTTGGCAGAAATTCATTAAA